ACATCACACCCTCAGAAGTTCTAGAACCTTAACTCAGTGGAATGGAAGGACAGGTGGCCCTAGGCAAGGTCTAGGGCTGGAGAAGCCTCTCTTGGGTTCTGTCCTCAACCTCACATCCCTTGGGGACATTGGCTAACCAGCCTCCTTGGCTTCCTTTCCTCAGGGACTCTTATCTGATTCTCCACTAGGCAACAGGGTATCCGATGACTCCCCCATATGGTTTGAATAGCAGAGTGCAGTAAGGTCTAGCAAACTGTCGTCCCTGTCCATTACTGCTCAGGAGCAACCACCTTTTATTTGTTGTGGGTTTCACATATCCAGACTGGCCTTGAACTTGCTAAATAGTCAAGGAAGACTTTGAACTTCTCTTCTGTGTGTATACATATGTGTGTGCGTGCGTGTGTGCGTGTGTGCGTGTGTGTGTGTGTGTGCACATGTATGGGCAGCGGTGTGGAGTCCAGAGGCCAATGTCAGGTGTCTTCCTCAGTCTCTCTCCATTTTAACTTTTGAGATAAGGTCTTTTACTGAGCCTGGAATTCACTGATTTGGCTACACTGGCTGGCCAGCAGGCCTCAGGGACCCTTCTGTCTCTGGCTCCCCAGTGCTAGAATCACAGGTGCATGCTAATGCACCAAGTTTTTATGTTGGTACTAGGAATTGAATGAAATGAAGTCCTCACGCTTATGTAACAAGAACTTTGCCAACTGAACGATGAGTCAGTCTTTAAATGGCAAAAGACTTCCAAAATACACAGGAGTCTTTGTGGTGTTCTTTTGTTTTCTTTGATATTTACTTAGTGTGAATGTGTGGATGGATGCACACATTCCATAGTGTTCATGTGGAAGTCAAAGGACAACCTGTGGGAATCAGTTCTCTCTTTCTTCCATGTGAGTTCCAGGAATTGAACTCAGGTCATCAAGCTTCATGGAAAGCACCTTTGCTGCCTGCCCTATTTGTTTTGAGACAGGATCTCATGTTGGACAAGCTGGTCTCAAACCCGATATGTGGTTGAGGATGACTTTGAACCTCTGATCCTCTCATCCTCACCTCCCAACTATTTGAATTACAGGCATATTCCACCCACATTCCATTAATTTGGTGCTGTGGCTAGAACCCAGGGCCTCGAACTCTACCAACTAAGCAATCAATCTGAAGCCCCAGGAGCAACCCATTTTCATATCATATATGTATCTGCTGTCTATGCGATCTTCCATAAATTGCATAACTTTTCTGTCTCAATTCCTCACTAAATGTTGCTAATAATAAGACAACTTTACAGAATTGTAGTGAAGATGAAGTGAGATAATCCCCTGTCCTGGGTTCTCCAGGAAACCATACCCATAGAACTTAGAGATTTGCTTTAAAACATTGCTTCATATGGCTACAGGGATTAAGAAGACCCATAGCCTGATCTACATAAAGGGAGACCCAGAAAAGCAGCTTCCAAGTCCGAAGGCTTGAGATCAAGAAGCATTGATGGAGCGAGTTTTAGTAAGAGGGAAGAGGAAAAGTTGGAGCCCAGCCTCAGGGGTAGACAAAGCAAATTCAACTTTGTCTTTTTATTCTTTCCAGACACTTGGTGGACTGGATGATGCCCACACATTTTAGAGAAGGGTGCCTGCCTACTCAGCCATTAATCCCATCTAGAAATAATCCAAAGATATAGAGAAATAAATAAAGTATTAATTCAAATATTTGGGCACTGTGTGACCCAGTCAAGTTGACACACAAAAAAATTAACCATGACACCTTGTAATGAGCCTAGCATCCTGTCTTCCTATAGTGAGCATTCATTCAATAACAGTTAGCCATTGTTACCACAGAGGATTGTGATCTACTGATTAGCTTGATTGCTTCCCAGCCTGGAGTATGAGCTCTTGAAGCAATTAGAATCTGATATAATTCAATAAGCCAGGCTGCTTTGCTCTGTCTCCAAGGGACTGAGATGCCATCACTGCAACATGTGAGCTGACTCCCTAGGTGGTTGCTTAGGAAAGGGTTCAAACTGGCTTGATCCCATCTCTATCAGCACCCAGCCTGTTAACCCTTGGAGAGGACAGGCTTTGTACTAAAATCTTCCTTCCTGTAACGTTTCCGTAGGGAACAGAAGGAGTATGACCATCCTTAACTCTAGACATTTGGATTTAGGGTCTCTGGTGGACATTCTCTCTGCGCTTGCTAATGAAGCTCTGTGGGCTTTTTTCAATCCAGATTCCTTCTCTAATGAGTGACTGTTCTCCTTTCTCCCAATCACGGTGGGTTCACAGGTGAGCAGGCAATTCATCACCCACAATGCCATGGGACAAGGGGGCTTAGTTCTCTTGTAAGACTTGGCAGAGAAAGGCTCCAGTGAACTAATTCTATAAATCCCAGTCTCCCAGACTCAGAATCTCTGTTCCATACCACTGGGGATGTTTAGTCCACTCTCACCCCTTGCGATGACTGAAATATGTCCTCTAAAAGTTCATGCATGGAAGAAACATAATCCACCAATCTCAGTTTGCCTTTGATTGTTGTGATAAAACACTGACCAAAAACAACTTAGGGAGGAAAGGGTTTATTTGACTTACAGCACTATCCATCATCAAGGGAAGTCAAAGCAGGAACTCAGGACAGGAACCTGGAGGCAGGACCTAAAGCCCACACCATGGAGGAACTCTACTTACCAGCTTGCACCCCTAGTCTGTGCTCAGTCTGCTTTCTTATACAATACAGGCCCACCTGCCTAAGGGTGACCCTGTCCACAGTGCGCTGGGTCCTCCCACATCACTCAACGATCAAGAAAATGCCCCACAGGCCAGTCCAATGGAGTTAATTCTTCAACTGAGGCTCCCTCTAACCAGTTGTGTCAAGTTGGCAACTAGAGCTACACAGAACACCCCAAAACATTTTAAATTTATTTTTTGTTTATTTATATTTTATGTGTATGAGTGTTTTGCCTGCATGTGTGTAAGTGTACCCTTGTGTACAATGTCCATGGAGGCTAGAAGAAGAGATCAGATTCCCTAGAACTGGAGTTACCATCCACTGTTAGCAGCCATGTGGGTGATGTGAACCAAACCTGGGCCCTCTGCAAGAGTAGTCAGTGCTCTTAACTGAGGAACCACCTCTCCATCCTTATCCCAAAGCATATGTTTAATAGTGCTTTGTGTTTGCAGATGGGGCCTTTGGGAGGCAATTAGAACCAGATAAGGTCATGAGAGATGGGTGCCCAATGGTGGTATTAGTGGCTTTATCGGAAGAGGATGAGAGTCCTGAGCTAACAGGGTTGACCTGCCATGTGATATGTTCTCCCATGTTCTGATATTGCCGGAAGGCCCTCACCAGAAGCCAGTACCATGCTGTCCTCACTTCCTAGCCTCAAAAAGAAATATGTGCTGGGGCTGGTCCAGTGGGTAACACCCTTATTGTGCAAACATGAGGCCCTGAATTCAAATCTCAACACCCACATAAAAAAGCTGGCTGTGGATGTGCACCTGTAATAGAGAGGAGGGGCAGAGACAGAAGGATTACAAAGACTTGCAGCCAGCCTGCAGGGATGGGGGTGGGGCTCACCTGGGGGTGAGCTCCAGGTTCAGTCCAGACCCTCTCTCAAGGGAATGAATCAGAGAATGACTGAGCAGCTCAACCCACCACACACACGTACACACACACACACACACACACACACACACCTACACACATACACACACAAGCATGAGCCAAGAAAATAGTAACTCATTATAACACACCCAGTTTGTGGTATTAAGATCATAGCATCAGAAAATCAACCCCAATCTCTCCCCAGCCCTACTTCTCTGCTCAGCCTGATGGGAATGTTCAGCGATCCCAATGCTGTTAGCAGTACTGAGATCTATAGATCTTGTTTGAGTCCAAAGCCGCTGTAACTTAACCAACATTTCCTTATTCTTGGAAGCGAAAAGACCCCTTGACTTCTCAAGGCAGCATCTGCTCCATTGACCTAGCATCGCTGACCTTCCAGGACCATGTTAAACACTTGCACATTGTTGCTTGGGCCATTTGTAGCTGCTACCTAGTCTTTCAAATGAAAGGCACAAAATAACCTGGAAACCTTTCTTCAGGGAAAGCGCCTTCATGGACGCAAGGAGGAATTCAGCCCTCCCTGGAGGCCTTTGTCAGGGATGGTTTTACTCCCTGGCTCACTGAGTCTGTTTTCTGAGCAATATCGCAGGTATAGTTTTGTAGTTTTAGAAAGTGCTGCCTTGGGACCTTGCCAAAATTCTGAGATGAGTGGAGGAAGAGAAATGGCACTAAAAAATGAGTGTTCTCTTTAGAACAAGGAAATCCAGCACTGTCATGGAGGGAGGGATGCTGGGCAGTAGCAATAAGCAGATGTGTTTCCAAAAATAGAAGGGAAAAGGGAAAACAGCTTGTGTGAGACTGTTGAGACTCTCCTTCATTATATGAATGACTCTTTACAAACAGCAAAACAAAGTTCAAGCATCTATTGACCTTTACAAAATACAGCTATATAGATATATCAATTGCTTCCAAAGTTCACAAAATTGTTATAAAAGGTCCAAATCCCTTCATATTTTTTAAGAAAAGAGAGATGAGTATAAGTTTTCCTGTAAGAGTTTGTGATGAAAAGCTCAATTCGATACATTATGTGGAACACTGGACTCTGAACCAAGCAGACTGGGCTGTGAGTAAATATTTTGGAATCAGAGAAATGGACAGTACTCAACGATGATTAAAGACTGTATGTTAATTTTGTGCTAAGTAGAGAAACAACATCTTGGTTGTGTAATTGCTCCTTTTAGAAAGAAGTCTACTGAAGGAGTTGAAAATAAATGTCATGATATCTAAGCTTTGATTTACTTTTCTTAGCAAATAAGCATAAAAGATAGGGCAAAAGTGGCTAAATGTCATCTACAAATGTGAGTGTTCTTTTGGAGTTTATTATGAAGAGTCATTTCTGCACGTTTTTTTAAAAAGAAACTGTTCTAAAATAAATGCAAATGTATACGTGTATTTTTTAAAATATGGAACACTTCACGAATTTGCCTGTCACCCTTGTGCAGGGGTCATGCTAGTCTTCTCTGTATGGTTCCAGTTTTAGTATGTGTGCTTCCGAAGCGAGCATGCAAATGTATATTTTAAAAGAGAAACTCTAATACTAAAAACAGACAATAATTACACAAGAAATAGATGCATTTTGTGAATAAAAACTGTATGTAATGAGCCTGAAGTGGGTCATTTGTAAGCTCAGTGGCAGAGCAAATTAAGTTTTTAAGAGAATATTGTCAATAATTCATGATTAGACCCAAGTTGGTAGTTAACACATGACCATGACCATGGTAAAGAAATCAGGAAGTTCAAATAGAAAATGTTTCACTTATATGAATCTCCAAATGTATTTTTGGATTAGAAGAAAGGAAGTCAGAATCTGTGTCTTAGTATTTCTTTGATCATTTGTAACAAAGATTGTTCTTCTGCATGTAAAGGGGCTGCAAACCTACTGTTTCACTATCTTTGAGGTTTATAAATAGGTTAGTTAAAAGTACAGGCTCTTTATGTTAATGAATATTCCCTACAAGTTGTAGGAATTGCAGAATCACTACAAATAGGAGTGCGATTGCTTTGTCAGTGTCTAACAGTGACAGAGGACCCCAAACAGAGCTGTGTATTACTGTGCAGATGTGGCTATATCTCAGGTCCTGTTGTCTCTCAGGATCATTCCTAGTGATCAGCTCACAGCCCCAATGGACCATCTGCAGAACTTGGGCTTGGTCAGAGTCTCAATTTGGCCCCTTCTAGAATATTTTCTGACAGATGGACTGGTGTGAAGGGTATGTGCAGGAAGAGAAGCTTAAAACCTCCTGGGCCACAACATTCTCTACAGAGAGAAGAGCTAAAGAGGTAGTCCTGGAGCCAGGAGTGGTGGTGCACACACCTATAATCACAGCACTCCAGAGGAAGAACCTCAGTAGAAACAAGAGGACTGTGACTTTGAGGTCAGCCTGGGTTATTCTCTTAGTTACTCTTCTCATTCTGGTGCCAAAATACCCAACAAAAGCAACTTAAGAAAGGAAAGGTTTGTTTTGGCTCACAATTTGAGTGTCTAGTCCGTCGTGGTGGGGAAGGCAGTAGGTGCAGGTGGTAGCTGGTCACATTGCATCTGCACCCAAGAAATACAGCTGCATTCTGATGCTCTGCTCTTTATCCAGTTCAGGACCCCAGCCCATGGGATGGCTCTGCCCACAGTCAAGGTGAGTTTCACCTCCTCAGTTAAATGCTTCTGGAAATGCCCTCATAGACACACCCAGAAGTGTGTTTCCATGGAGATTTTAAATCCAGTCAAACTGACAAGATAAACCATCACAACTACATTGCAAGACTCTGATTTGAAAAATAAAAAGGAATTGGTCATGGAATTCTGGTGATAATTCTAAACACAATAAAGTTGGTTTCAATGTAAATATTTATCAATTGGGCGATTCCCAAAACAAAACAAAGAGCTCTACGAAATTAAGTTATCTTGAGAAGAGTTTGGGAACCTTATATAAAAATGTACTTAGGGGCCTGGAGAAAGGGTTTGATGGTTAAGAGCACTGACTACTCTTGCAAAGGATTCAGGTTTGAATCCCAGCACTCACATGGCAGCTAACAACTGTCCATAACTCCAGTTCCAGGGGATCCAATGCCCTCTTCTGGTCTCTGTGGGCACTGTATGACACAGGTGTACTTACATACATTCAGGTATAACACTCATACACATAAAACAAATAAACAAAAAAATTTAATGTACATTGGGAAAGCCTCAGGGAAAGGTGGAACCAGGGGATATCTTCCCACACTGTATATTCCAGGACTCGGGAAGTAGAGGCAGGATATCCAAAGTTCAAGATCATTCTTGGCTACATAGCAAGTTTGAGGACAGCCTGAGCTACAATGAGACACTGTCTCAAAAACTAACAAAAAGGTCTGGGAAGAAAGCTCAGTCAGTAGAGTGCATGAGTTGAGATCTCTTTTTTAGTCACAAAGTTGGGTGTTTCAATCTTTAAGAACCTTTTGTGTTTTTCTTTCCATATCTAACTGCTCTATCCATTTTTTGTTGGGCAAATGGCCTTCCTTATGATTTGTAGGCTTTCTTCCTGTTTTAGGGAAATTAGATCTTTGCATCATGAATTGTAAACTCTCACAGTTTACTTTTATGCTTCGGATGAGGGCGTTTTCCCATGCATAAATGACTTTTTAAATCAAACCTTTTCCTGGCAACTGAATTTTGTTTCACAAAACTTGCCACTCAAAGAGGGGTTTAAAATTTCCCATTGGTACTTTTATTTTTAACATTTTCATCTTTAGTCCATCCTAAATGGATTCTGATGTAATATCTGAGGTAAGAATCTAAACTTACTTTCTTCCAGATGGCTACCAGTTGCTCCAACACAACTTATGAAAGGACCTTTTCCCTTCTAATTGGAAAGTGCCGCCTTTATCACACAGTAAATTTCCACTTGTGTTTCAGAGCCTACAGATCCATTTCAAGCAGAGACTTTGGCCTGTATTTTATTAGTGAAGAGTTATAAAAATAAAGAGGCAGATAGCCAAGACACAAATTTACTCACACTTTGTCCAGAGCAATACAGTCAACAGATGAATGGTTCTTTGGGGGGAAATATTCTCAAATCCTCCATCTGCTAAAAATCTGATTCTCTTCCTATGTTGAACTGAATTCCAAATCATGACTCCTCAGCAACTGTCAATGAATCTTGACTTCTGGAGTGGAATTGCTGGCAAAGGTCTGCTCTATTTGATTTTGTGGGCTGAATTAGCACGTGCATGGGCTATGCTCACGGTTAGGGATGAGTCTCTCTCTCTCTCTCTCTCTCTCTTTCTCTCTCTCTCTCTGTGTGTGCATGATTGTGGGTTCCCTGAGAGGCCAGAAGAGAGCATAAAATCCCCTGGAGCTGGAATTATGGACACTTGTGAGCCACCTGATGTGGGCGTTGGGAATCAAACTCAGGTCACCTGCAAGAGCAGTCAAGCACACTTTTGAGTCATCTCTCGAGCCCCCTGCCCCCCTTTTTTGTTGTTATTCTCTGGGGGCTTTGGTTTCTTGAGACAAGGTTCACGATTTGGCCCATGTTGACCTGTAGCTCTCTGTGTGTGGTTGTTCTAGAATTCGTGATCCTCCTGCCTCAGTCTCCCAAGTGAGGGATTACAGACATGTGCCACTGCACCCAGCTCTGTCCTCCTTCTGGGAGAAATCCAATCACACAGCTCTGGTTTTGCCTTTGGTTTTCATCAACCACCAACACACAATTTCTATTGAAACCACAAACTGTCCTTTTCCCAGTACTTGTGGCTTTTTGATTTGAAGGCAGCTTTGAGGCAGCCACAAGGTATGCAAAAAGACCTCCAACTAGGGGAGCACAACTGACCAGGGACCCCAGCAGCTCTGCTCTGAGCCGATTAGTATTTGTGCTGAGGAGTCTCCAGGGCCCCCACTCCCAGGCAAGGCCTAGAAGGCAGCAGGTGGGTTCTGAAACCACAAGAACACATCTGTAGCTGCCTGGCCTGGCCCAGCCCTTCTCTCTCTCTGTGAAGTCCAAGTTGGCCTGGAACTCACTATGTAGCCCAGTGTAGTCTCAAACTCAATGCTCCTGCCTTAACCTCCCGAGTGCTGGGATTACAGGTGTGAACCACCAGTACATTCTCCCAACCTCCCCTTTCCTTATGTCATCCTGTTTGCACAGTGTGTGACAGTTCTTCCCGCCTCCCTCTATTTTCTCTTCCTCGTTTTTTCCTACACGCACTCTCTGAAACAAGTCATGCGCAGATGATCTCAATTTGACAACTGCTTCTTGGACCTGCAATATCAGAAACTACATGTTTTCATAGCTGTGCTGTATATTTTTGGTAGTTTCTATACACACATATTGTAACAGCACTGAGGTGTTAGATCCTGGGCTTTTCACTCTGTTTAGGAACTGCTCTTTGTCTGGGTTGAATATAGCAAGCATCCTGCGTCTTTGCCACAGAGACCCAATCAAAGATTGTGAAATGTGTATGGCAGTAAGTTAGAACTTTGAGACTTCAGTGGTCACATGACAGAAATGAATGGGACATTCATCTTAAGAACAATGGCTGCATGACTAATAACTTAAAGAGGTCATTTCAACCTGTATTTCATAGGGAATGTACCCAGACAACAGGACTGATCCCCTAGGCTGAGATCCTGCTTTTGTCTGTGGCTAAAACGGGATTGCTCGGCCATCCTAATGACTGATGAACAGACACACCTTGAATTTAGGTACATGTTTACTCTCCTGTCTTTGCCCAAGAGCATCACTGTCTCCAATGCCAGAATTTAACTAGAAAAGTTAAGTTCTTTCCACCTCTAGGAATTCTGATATTCCGGAGAAGCCAGGCATTCTCTGAGCATTGAAACTCAATTTATGAGTCTATTTTCAGAAATTCAAGGTAGCACTATTCATTCAAGCCCCAGATGCCTCAAGGAGCTGTTGACTTCTAGTCTGACCAACCTCTTCACGTTGTGGCGTGTAAGATGCACAATCCTCTTGGAATGTCTGTCGGATGACTCTGGCCAGTGAGTCTTTCCCTTGAATGTCTTGGGGCTAGATCCAGCATGTCTGTTTCATTACTGATGAGCTGTTTGTGTGAAAAAGAATTCTGGAACTACTTACTTAACAGCTCTGAGTATTCTGGTCCTAACCTGTCAATTAGAGACATTTAATCTCTAGTCAAAAAAACGCTTGCTTGGTTTCCTGACCAGAAAAGGATTTACAAGAGCAACATGGGTGGGGCTGATCTCGCAAAGAATTTAAGGAGGGGGAATTATGTAATCTCTAATTTTTTTTAGGGAGAACCTGAATCTACCTCACTGATTGTGACTCTGGTCTACTCAATGGTCGCTATTTATTGAACATTCCATCGTTGTGTTACAGTGTAAATCATGTGCAACACAACCCTATTTTCTTTTTTTCTGGCCCTTCATCTTCCAGCATCAATGAGATGGATCTGTGTCAGCCTAATTCCATAGCAGGTCACTCTTTGGACGGGGCTTGTTGAGCAAACCAGGGCTGTATTGTACCGTGCCGGGTCTGCTCACTGGAGTGG